CCCCAAAACCCCAAAACCCCAAAACCCCAAAACCCCTGAAGCAGACATTTTATTGAATTCTTATAACTCTTTATTGCTGTCAAAATATGGCTGGAGTGTCTCTTCCATAATGTATTTGCTACTCTGAGCTTTAGAATCTCTATAATAAGGCTTGCTTGTATCCAAATTAACACCCCTCACAAGGAATTCGTAGAAAAATATGTGAGTTAGAGGTTTATTTTGAGTTTTTAAACTAATTGTTTTGAAATTTGCTATATTTTACCATTCTTAAAGGACAAAATGGCAGAGATCTACAGAAGAAACTGTCCATAGGAGGTTCAAATGTTCCATTTCCTAGCCTTTACCCTATCTAGGTTGACTGAGGATTTGAATCTCGGAGTAAAAAATTATCAGAAAGTTTTAGAAATCTGAGATATTACTTACTCTTCAGAGAGATGTGTAGGTAAAACTTTTGCAGAATGCTTCTGAATTGTTGTTGGAAGAGTTTCTGGTAATATATAATTTTCACTGGGTCTATTTGAAGGAATCTGGCTATCTAAAAACTTTAAAGACAATGTACCTTTGAGAGTGGTAGTGGAGATGACACCATTGATCAGTCTATAATCTTTTTCGTACCAATTCCTTTTTAAATATTGTTCCTATACATATCAACCTATTTCATTACCATGAAGTCATCAACTCTTGATATATGCAGCATTGTCTCGTTTGATCTGGCAAATAATTTCGGGACTTCTTTATAAGCATCTTCTTCGCTGGATTCCTCACTGTCAGTGTTCATTGGGATACTATTGCATTTCTGGAAGGGTATCATAAACCTCTCATCTTCATCCATAATAGAGGCAAGCAAAGTCTTGACCTCTCTCATTGACTTAGCGAAGTGTACTGCATCAAATTCATTAATAAATTTGTCTGCTCCCTTGGAGAACAGCTTATTTCTCCTTTTGATATTCAAACCTTCGTTCTTTCTGCAGCAGAAGCAGATACAGAATGGGACCCAGCTGATGAAGTCATAGAAGAAGTCTGTAAATTTCCATTGATATCTGGCCTTTTTCCTCATTCTTTTCTGAGCTTCTTGTACCATCATTTCTTTATTCATAAGTTTTGAGGCGATAGACTTGTTTTTAAAGTTAGGATCGTCATTCTACATTTAGATTAGGAGGCTTACCATAGATAGACTTTGTACTCTGACATCGCTTCCACGGAAATCTAGACCGAGGTAAGTTTATAATTCAGGAGGTAATTTAAGAGTAAACTCAAGAAAGGTAGCATTTTCAGAGTTTAGCAATATGACTCACCTTTATCAGTCTTTGGTTTTTCAACTTGGTAGAGTTTTGAAAGGATTGTAAACAAGAAGATCTTTTCAGAGAACAAGCCTACAATGAATCCTCCAGCGATTGTTAGGACCTCTAACAGTCCTCCAATATTTCCAAACGCTTCAAGGAAGGTGAAGACGACTCTTTCGTATGATTTGCTAGTTGGATCTTTGAGGAAGACCATTTCTAAAATTGTGATGAAAATTTACGAAAAACTGTATAATCTAGGCTATCGTATTGGACTGAAGTTGTTTTATCAACTCTGTTCACCTCGATGAACTCTTTCTCTTCGCCTCCAGGTTGGTAAGCTAAGAAGCTGTCGACATGCTCAGCCTCATTGCTCCTAAAGAGTGAGCAAAGACTTACTGTAGATAAACATTACTTTTTTGTGAATATCCTGGAAGAATATAACTCGTAAGTCTACCATCGATGAAAGTTTTTGAAGGACTCTCAAAATCTTGGAAGTCAAAATAAGAGTTAACAAATGGGATTTCCACCCTCATCTTGCCCAATACTGTATCTAAATCTGGAGGGCATCCAGACTGACACTTTTTCAGCTTCAGTTGAGCATATTGATAGCTATCAGAGAAAGATCCCCCCTGGAGAGTGATATCCCTACTTTCAGGACAAACGAATTCATCTATCTGTATTTGTTCCGCCTAGGATTTCCCTCTAAAAGTACTTACCTCTGTCTGGTTGTAATAATGAAACAAAGTTGAGCCACAAGTCGATAATGAGATTGTGCTGCTTGATAAACTTTTGGTAGCTATATCAATTAAGGTTCTCCTCTTCGATTCAAAGTTTCTACATTTGATCAATTTTATAAGAAAAATTTCAGAATCTTTGAAAGTTTCATGACAAATTCATTAGCTCGTAAGTTAGAGCTAGAGAAGCCTGGAAGTAACTTTGTATGGCATTAAGTAATAAATCTATCACCTAAATACAAAAGGAATGCTTCTACTATTAAACAATAGATTCATGTGCTTCTCGTATATCTGGAGCATCTTGGGAAAACCATTTAAAAAAGCACGGGTTACTTCGTGAAATATACATTTTTACTCTAAATTTTTGAAGAAATGGTGAAATATAAAATCATCTATAACTCTCAGTAGCTCAGTTTGAGATGTTACTATGCTGCTTAACCAGCAGAAAATCTTAGCAAGGCAATACTTACTAGGATCCCTAGTATATTGCATGAACTCAGCAGTGACATAAGGATTCGATAGGACATCAAAGGAATCGTCTCCTGTTACAAATACTTTAAATGCGAATGAAAAATCAGAGTTGCTATACATTACTCTATGATCTTACTTAATATAGGTAGGGTCTGGGTCGTTCAGAATGTCTACTTTTAAGCTCCAAAATACCTGTCACAACGTTATTGACACTTTTCTGGTTATTCTTCCTCTCTATGGGAATTAAAGGCACTAGGTTTACCATACATCAGGCGGAGCATTAGGTACGCGTAAAATAAAATTACAACTTTTATGATTAGAGAGAAACCTCCTCCTATGAGAGTTTTGAATTCCCTAAAAACAAGAGGTGAGCACGATGGAATTTAAATTGATTCTGAAACTTAGTAGTAGCTGAGGTTTAGGACCTGTTAAAGACTTACTCTTCACCACCCATTGTAAAATTTATGCTCCTAGGATACCTAAAGAATATTAACCACTCAGACTTACATATCATAACTTTTGACTTTGTCTGTGATATACCTTATCCAATTCCTAAAATGTCATTTAAATATACTTTGAGACTTTAAACAGCGCTCCTTTTGCCATTTTCACTTATTTTTATATCCAATCTGGCTTAATTTCTACGGGGTTTTGGGGTTTTGGGGTTTTGGGGTTTTGGGG